TGAAAAGCTCAGGTGCAGTGACAGGGACCACCCCTTCCCGGAAGGCATGGGCTGAAGGCAGGGACTGGACGACAGGTGAGGTCAGCCAGGCTGGTGGACCTCCTGGGGTAGGCCTCAGCTCGGGCATCAGGACTGGCAGGTTGGTTGGAAAGGGCTGGGTTGCTGGCAGCACCCGGAGGAAACAGATGGGAAGGAGGGGAAGAGGGGAAAGGCAGTGGTCAAAACGGCCCACTGGCCATGGAATTCCCCTGCAACTGCAGGGTTCTGGGTGGGGGAGGGCTCTTCTGCCCCTCCCCCCAGATCCTTCAACTGCCAAGCACCGCACTGGCCACCACCATGCTGTCCTCCCCAGGTAGGCACAGATGGGGCTTGTCCCATGCCTGCAGGGAAGGCGCTGTGTGTCCCCCATCAGACTGTGTGCCCCCGGAGGATGGGGACTGGGACTCCTCCATCAGGCTGGATGCTGATGGGCAGCAGAGGCCTCTTCCTCGGCTGCTTGGGAAGAAACAGGCGGCCGCTGGTCAGACCCGCTGGCAGGACCCAGGGCAGGAAGTCAGAGAGGGGCTGGGTGTGGAGGGGAGAAGGACCACGCTCACGGCCACGTGAGGAACAGGGCCAAGCTCAGGGAACAGAGAAGACCTCCTCCAAGGCCCTCGGTGCAGAAAGATGGGGAACGGCCCCACCCGATGGACTCAGGTCCACGAGAGAGGGCTGGTGGCCCGGGCTGGCAGAGAGGAGCCATCCCCGCTGGGGGAAGGAAGGGGTAGGGGGTCAGAGGGCCCCAACCTTGGCCGGCAGAAGGGCTCAGCCCTACACCTCACCATCAGCCGGGGACAGCTGGGGCCTCCTGTGGGGGTCACCAGGGGCCAGCGGCCTCTAGCCCCCCCCAGCCCTGGGCCTTCACCTGCCCCTGACCCCTGGAAGCTGAGGCCTCATAGCGGACCCCTCGCCCACTCCTCACTCGTTCCCTGAGATGTCGCAGTGCAAATCAAGCTGTCCACACAGACACAGGTCCCCTAGGAGCCATGTGTTTGGAAAATCATTGAAAGAGTAGATTTTAAGTGTTCTCACCACAAAAAAAAAAAAAAAAAAAAAAGGTAAGTATGTGAGGGTAACGCATGTGTGAGTCAGGTCCAGGAGCCATCCCAGTGCATACATGATCCGAGACATCATGTAACACACGACAAATACAGTTTCTGTCATCTGAAAAGCACACTAGCATAGATTTAACTGGGGCAAGCAAGGCCCTGCAGGTCCCTAACCTGGTAGAGGAGCTGGAGCCTCCACCTTTGGTAATGGCTCCCAGTCTGACGGAGGAGACAGGATGTACTAGCAGAACAGAAAGCTTCCCATTTACTCACGTCTCATTTTACCATACCGCTCCAGCCTCTGCCTGTGCTGCCCGTAGCCAGCCCTGTCTGTCTGTCCTGTCCCTCTGTGTCATCCGGCCCCAGCCCCTGGCCAGCATCACAGGGCTTGGGTGTGCTGCCCTCTGCAGGGCTCTGTGGGTACTGCAGTGGTGTGTATGGGCATGGGGCTTCTCCGTGATGAGCAAGAAGTTCAGGCAGACCCAAGCTTTGTGTTTTATGGTGTTTGTGTGTGTGTGTGGGGGGGGGGTTGTTGTTTAAGATTTATTCATTTGGCCGGCGCCGCGGCTCACTAGGCTAATCCTCCGCTTGCGGCGCCGGCACACCGGGTTCTAGTCCCGGTTGGGGCGCCAGATTCTGTCCCGGTTGCCCCTCTTCAGGCCAGCTCTCTGCTGTGGCCAGGGAGTGCAGTGGAGGATGGCCCAAGTACTTGGGCCCTGCACCCCATGGGAGACCAGGAGAAGCACCTGGCTCCTGCCATCGGATCAACGCAGTGCGCCGGCCACGGCAGCCATTGGAGGGTGAACCAACGGCAAAAGGAAGACCTTTCTCTGTCTCTCTCACTGTCCACTCTGCCTGTCAAAAAAAAATATTTATTCATTTATTTGAAATGCAGAGTTACAGAGACAAAGACACACACACACATCTATTCACTGGCTCCTTCCCCTCACTGGCCACAATGGCCAGGACTGGGCCAGGGTTCAGGAACTCTATCCTGGTCTCCCACGTGGGCTTCAGCTCCTGTCTGACCTCTCCCTGCTGGATGCTGGTAGCATCCACTGCCAGCTGTGACGACCAAAGAGGCCCGCAGACCCAGCTCTGGGGGACACGGCAACCCGTAATGGAGAACTCTGGACAGGACCTGCCTGCATAGACCCTGGGGTCCCCCTGGGGCAGGTGGGGACAGTCCGTTGTTCCTGATCTACTCTGAGGAGGACCCCCGAACTCATCTCTCCCATCATCCCTCCCAGAGGCTCCTCCCCTTCTGCTCTGAACCCTCTCCTGTGAAAGGGACCCCACTGTTCACCCCCCACAGTGTCTTTGAACAAAGAACTAGACCTCCCACCACTCCCACCACACACACACACACACACACACACCTTTCATCATTTGCCCAAGTCTGACAGAGGAAGCTTCCTCTACCATTTCTTTCTTCCTTTCTTTTTTTTTTTTAAATTCATTTATTTATTTGAAAGGCAAAGTTACAGAGAGGCAGAGGCAGAGGCAGAGAGAGAGATCTTCCATCTGCTGGTTCTCTCCCCAAATGGCTGCAATGGCCAAAGCTGAGCCCATCCAAAGCCAGGAGCTTCTTTCAAGTCCCCCAGTGGGTGCAGGGGCCCAAGCACTTGGGCCATCTTCCAGTGCTTTCCCAAGCCATAGCAGAGAGCCGGATCGGAAGTGGAGTAGCCAGGTCTTGAACCCGGCACCAATATGGAATGCCGGCACTGCAGGCAGCGGCTTTACCTGCCAGGGGCCTTCTACCATTTCTAAGAGAGCCCCTGGAGGCTTGGGTGGGAAGAGGGAGGGCGGCAGGTGGGAATTCCTGGATTCTGGCCCCACACTCCTCTTCCCTACCCCCCAAAGCTAATACTTCCTGAGCCAGAACCTTGGGCGGGGCAGGGGGTGGTGGGAGGCAGCGAGGTGAGCCTAGGACAGGGGGCAGCCATGCCCCAGCCTCCCTGATCCTCCCACCCAAGCCGGCTGCCTCTCCCTGCCTCTGCGGCCTCGGTGCTGAAGCCAGGGAGGGAGGTCCTCGCAGACTCCAGGCGGGAATGCCCGGCCCAGAGTGAAGGGTGGCAGAGGTGAGCTGGGGTTTGCCCTCTGGAGTGCAAAGAAGACCATCTCCTGGTGATCCCCAGTGGGCCGAGGAAAGTCACCAGGAAGTCTTGTGACAGACACGTGGCACGCAGCAGGGGGCTGTGTACGCCTCGTAGGAGCTCAGTGAAGGCAACTGGCATTTTCTGAGCCCTAACTAAACGCCAGCCTTTGCCCTAGATGTTGTCTTATTGAATCCTGCAACACCCTTCCCCCCACCCCCACCTCCGATGCAGCACCAGCTGCCTCCCCACCCCTTCCCCTTCCCTTCATCGCCCCCCCAGCTGTCCCGGAAGGGGACTTCACAAAGACCACGTGGAAACTGCGGGAGAGTGGGTGAGGGTCTGCTGACCACACCCAGCCTTGAGCAAAGCCTCTGCCCCTCCACTCTGCCAGGCCCCCTCCACCGCAGCCCCTACCCAGCAGGGCAATGAGTGTGGTGAGGGGGGGACGCGGATCCGCCTGCCTAGGTGCGAGCCCTCACTCTGCTGCCCACCCTGGGTGTGGCCTTGGGGCAGTTCAATCGCCCTGTGCGGTTCCCAGCTGGAGCAGGGGAATGGTAGCAATAAACATAACCAGTAGAGGGCGCTGGCAGGGGCATGGAAAGTGCTTGGGACAGGCTCAGGCCTGTGGTGACTTCTATAACTGCTACGGGAGTGCTGGTATTGCTATAACGGAAGGAAGAGTCCCAGCAGCTCCTCCAAGCCACTGGCTCATGGAAGAAGCAAGATCCCAAGTCCTCCCTCAACCTGATCCTTAAGGCCGATAGAACTTTCTGAGGGGGCCCGGGAGCATCCAGGCCCCCGTGACCCCCGAAGGAACCCCTGAGAGGCCATTGTGGTGCCAGGCCAGCTTTTGCTCATCCCCCACAGCAACCCTCTGCATCCCCGGGCTGGGCCAAGCTCTGTTTGTGTCCGGGAGGTGATGTGGGGGCATCTGTGGGCCCGCCCAGTTACCAGGCACCTGCTCTGGGGGTGCGCCCTGGTTGAGGGAGTGCAGAGGTGAGCCCCTGCCGTCTGCCCCTCCAAGGAGCCTCACTGCCCCCCCTGCTGTGAGGGAAGCACACACACCCCCCCTTCCAGAGTTGCCAGGAAACAACTCTTAAAACCTTGCGTTGGGCGGGTTCAGCCTGGCAGTTTTAAGACCCTGCTTGGGACGCCCACACCCTGTGTCCCAGTGCCTGGGTGTGAGTCCCAGCCCATTCCCGGCTAATGCACACCATGGGAGGCGGCAGGTGATGGCTTAGGTAGCTGGGTCCCTGCCACCCACATAGCAGTGTTGGATGGAGCTCCTGGCTCCCAGCTTTGGCCTGACCTGGAGCTGGCCATTGCAGGCATCTGGGGAGTGAACTAGAGAATGGAATCCCCCCCATCCCCGCCTCTCAAACACATATAAATAAGTAAAGAACGTTTGTTGAGCATCTACTAGGTGCTGACTACAACAGCAAGTGAAATAGACAGAAATTCCTGTCCTCGGAGCTGGTGCTGTGCCGCGGTGGGTTAAGCTGCTGCCTGCATTGCCCCTGTGGGCTCTGGTTCGAGTCCTGGCTGCACCACTTCTGATTCAGCTCCCTGCTGATGCGCCTGGAAAGCCAGCAGAAGATGACTCAAATCTTTGGGCCCCTGCACCTACATGGGAGACCCAGATGAGGCCCCTGGCTCCTGGCTTCAGCCTGGCCCAGCCCTGGCTGTTGCAGCCATTTGGGGAGTGAACCAGTGGATAGAAAATATTTCTCACTTGAGTGTGGTAGGAGAAGGTTGGCTGAGAAGAGGCCACAGAGCAAGGTCTGGGGGCCCAGTGGGACTTTTTCCCAGTGGACCCAGTGGGCCTAGGACCAGCATGACCCCAGACAGAGGCACAACAGTACGATGTTGCTGAGGAAGGAAGGTAGCCTTTGTCCAGGAAGGCACCAGCCACGTTGGGGCGGGTCACGTGACCAAGAAGACAGCTAGGTAAAGCATGCAAGGGGCGGGTGTGTTTTGACCTCAGGGTAGGGAGGGAGGAAACTGGTAAAAAGAAGGGGAAACTATTTTTCTGGCTTAGACTTTTAAATGGCTTTTGATATTTAAATGAACCTCTTCTTAATTTAAAAAGAATTTAATTTCTTTGAAAGGCATAAATGTGGCACAATAGGTTAATCCTCTGCCTACAGCTGCCAGCATCCCATCTGAACACCGGTTCTAGTCCCAGCTGCTCCTCTTCCAATCCAGCTCTCTGCTATGGCTTGGGAAAGCAGTGGAAGATGGCCCAAGTCCTTGGGCCTCTGCACCTGCGTGGGAGACCCAGAAAAGGCTCCTGGCTCCTGGCTTCGGATGGGCCCAGTTCCGGCCATTGTGGCATTTGGGGAGTGAACCAGTGGATGGAAGACTTCTCCCCCGACTCCTCTGCCTCTGCCTTCTGAATAAAACAAATAAATCTTTTTTTTTAAGATTTATTTTATTTATTTGAAAATCAAGGTTACAGAGAGAGAGAGAGAGGTCTTCCCTCTGCTGGTTCACTCCCCAGATGGCCACAATGGCCGGAACTGCGCCGATCTGAAGCCAGGAGCCAGGAACCTCCTCCACATCTTCCCATGTGGGTGCAGGGGCCTAAGGACTCAGACCATCCTTCATTACTTTCCCAGGCCATAGAAAAGAACTGGATCGGAAGTGGAGCAGCCAGGTCTCGAACTGGCACCCATATGGAATGCTGGCACTGCAGGAGGCGCTTTACTCACTATGCCACAGCACCAGCCCCAAATAAATAAGTCTTTAAAAAAAAAACTGACACCAGGAGCCAGGAAACCAACCTGGGTCTCCCATATGGGTAGCAGGTTTCCAATGACTTGAGCCATTACTGGCTGTCTTCTAGAAAGTGCATCAGCAGGGAACTGGAATCAGGAGCAGAGCTGGGGCACAAAGCTAGGCCCTCTGATACAGGATGCAGGCATCCCAAGTGGTGGTTGAACCACTATGCCAAATGCCCGCCCTGGAAGTTAACGTCTCAAAGAAGCTTTGTGCCAGAAACTACAACAAGCATCTTAGAGCATCACTCTACTGCACGGCTGGAGAAGCTGAGGCCAGGGAGACTGAGCCGTGTGTGTGTCTGGGGGTGGGGGGGTCCTGGCTGTTAAGGATCCATGTGCTCCCAGCAGTGTGGTGTGGCTCTACTAGGGGCAGCAGCAGGGCAGGCAGCCTGGAGGAGGAAGAGAAGAGGCAAGATGCAGAAGGGTGCAACTGACAATGTAAAGGATAGGGTGAGCGTACAGGGTGGGGTCCAGAAGATCCCCAGGGCTCTGGCCTGGGGAGAGGGGAGGAAGGAAGGGGCTCCATCTTGGCACAGGTGGAACCTGAAACGCTGGGGAGGGGGCTGTGGGAGGGCTGCTCCTCCTGGGCGGTGTCTGCATGAGGCTGATACGCACATTTGGCGTGGATGTAGATTTTCTCCTCTCCACTTTTCCCAGGTGGCTGTGTCACCCACCAGCAGTGTACGAGGGTTCTGGGTTCCCCACATCCTCACCAGCACTTAATATTTGCCTTTTTATTTTTTTTTTTAATTTTTATTTATTTATTTATTTTTTTGACAGGCAGAGTGGACAGTGAGAGAGAGAGACAGAGAGAAAGGTCTTCCTTTGCCGTTGGTTCACCCTCCAATGGCCGCCGCGGCGCACCGCGCTGATTCGATGGCAGGAGCCAGGTGCTTCTCCTGGTCTCCCATGGGGTGCAGGGCCCAAGCACTTGGGCCATCCTCCACTGCACTCCCTGGCCACAGCAGAGAGCTGGCCTGAAGAGGGGCAACCAGGACAGAATCCGGTGCCCCGACCGGGACTAGAACCCGGTGTGCTGGCGCCACAAGGCGGAGGATTAGCCTAGTGAGCCGCGGCGCTGGCCTGCCTTTTTATTTTTAAGATTTATTTATTTATTTGAGAGGTAGAGTTACAGAAATCGATCTTTCCTCTGCTGGTTCACTCCCCAATTGGTCACAACGGCTGGAGCTGCCAGGAGCCACGCATTTCCTCTGGGTCTCCCATGCAGGTGCAGGGGCCCAAGGATTTAGGCCATCTTCTACTGCTTTCTCAGGCCATGGCAGAGAGCTGGATCAGAAGTGGAGCAGCTGGGATTCCAACTGGAGCCCATATGGGATGCTGGCACCACAGGCAGAGGCTTAACCTACCACGCCACAGCACTGACCCCTGTCTTTTATTTTCAATGTTTTTAAAAATGTATTTACTGGGGCCAGTGCTATGACTCTGCCTTTCAAATAAATAAATAAATCGTCTTTAAAAAAGAGAACAAGATGTATTGATTTGAAAGGCAGAGTTAAAGAGTGAGAGAGGGAGGGAGAGAGAATCTTCCATCCATTTCTACCCAAACACTTGCAACAACTAGGGGTGGGCCAGGCGGGAGCCAGGAGCTCCATTCTGGTCTCCCATGCGGGTTACCGGGGCCTCAGCATTTGGGCCATCTTCTACTGCTTTTCCAGGTGCATTAGCAGGGCACTGGGTCAGAAGCAGAGTAGCTGGCACTCAAATGGGCACTCCCCTAGGGTCGTAAGCAACGGCTTAACCCGCTGCGCCTAATGGGTGTGAAGTGGCATTCTCGCTTTGTTCTTAAATTGCATTTCCCTGACGACTAAGAACACCGAGTTTACCGGTCCTTTGTAAATCTCAACCTGAAAAACACCTGTTCTTTCACTGGGTTGTCTTCTTTGTTTTTGAGCAGAGGACATTTTTCCCGACAAGGGCATGGTGGCTTACATAAACCACAGCCGACTCAAGGCCAAGGGCGTGGGCCAACACCACAATGCCCACTGCTACAGGAACCAGAGTTTTGAGGAGCTGCGGGCCACCTGTCTGAGGAGGGGTGAGCTGTTCGAGGACCCCCTGTTCCCCGCGGAGCCCTGCTCGCTCGGCTTCAAGGACCTTGGCCCCAACTCCAAACATGTGCAGGCCATCAGCTGGCAGCGGCCCAAGGTGCGCCCTGGGAGCCGAGGCACCGGCCACGGGGGTGGGCGTAGGGGCAGGGTGGTGGTGGTTGGGTTTGTAGCGACTCCACAGTCTCTTTGCTCATCTCCAACCCTCCGCTGCCCAGCCTGGACCCTCACCTTCCTCCCCCCCACCAACAGAGCTGGAACAGTTCTGAATGTGCTTAAGCCAAAGGCCCCAGACAGCCCTGGGGAGGTCACCCGTGAGCCTTGGCTCTCACGGCCCTGAGGCAACGCCAGGTTGCTCCTCCCCACGCTGTTCCCCGGCGCACAGTCCAGGGGGAAGGCAGGGGGCCTGTCCTGGGCCCCCTGAACCCCTGCTTCCTTCCTCCCTGCAGGACATCACGAGCAACCCTCAGTTCATCGCTAACGGGATCTCTCCGACTGACATCTGCCAGGGGATACTCGGTGAGCCGGGCGGGAAGCCGGGCTCCGCTGGCAGGCGGGCAAAGCCAGGCAAGAGGACTTGGGGCGTGGCAAGGTGTCTTTGGAGGCTGGAAAACCGGGGTGCCTAAGTTCAGACCATCTACTTCTGCTTCCAGGTCCCGCCGCTTCCGCGCTGTGGGAGCGTCGTGCGCATTCCCCAGCCCCACCCCGCACCTGGTGCCACCTCCACCTGCTGCCTTCGGGGGAGGGGGGGCATCTGGGGAGCAGCATTGGTCACCGATTGCCACATAATTAGTTACCCAAGACTTAGGGACTTAAAAAAGAAAACCAGCAAGGCTTGACACACACTTCCAGGGGTCGGGGAATGCGGAGCCGGGGAGGTCTCCCGTGAGGTCACAGCCCGGGCTGTTGCCATCTGAAGCCTGGGCTGCAGCTGGCAGCTCTCCTCCCCAGAGGTGCTGTCACGCGTCAGGAGGCCTCGCCCGAGGGACTTCCCAGGAGGCTGTTCGGGTGTCCACGCAGCGTGGCCGCTGCCCGCCCCCCCCCCCCCCCCACCCAAAGCCAGCGATTCCTGGGAGAAGGCGAGCCGAGTGTCCTACGAGCTGGTCTTAGGGATCACACAGGGGCAGCCCCAGCATACTCAGCGCCCCTGATGCTGGTCCCCACTGCACCTCCTGAGAATCCGCAGAGGGATGGGAGCCGCCTCAGGCCAGCCTCCCATGGGCCATGTGGATGACCCCGAGGCGGGGTGGGGGGGCCTCCATTCTGCCCTGCTTGTGGCAAAGAGAGCAAGGTGTGGGCAGGGCAACCCCTCCTCCTGCTTTTCAGGGGACTGCTGGCTGCTGGCCGCCATCGGCTCCCTCACCACATGCCCCAAACTGCTGTACCGCGTGGTGCCCAGGGGGCAGAGCTTCAGGAAGAACTATGCAGGCATCTTCCACTTCCAGGTGAGGGCGGGGGTTGCTGCGTGGGGTGGGGGCCAGTGCAGGAGAGACAGACAGGATCCACGCCAGCGCTGAGGCTTCCGGTTTTTCTTTTTGATTTCACAGAATAGCATTCATGGGGGGTGTGTTTGGGTCTAATTGTGACAGCAAACTCTGCTCATAGAAAAAACCACACAGGCGAATGTTTTCAAAGATTTATTTGAAAAGCTGAATTACAGAGAGGCAGAGGTGGAGAGGGGTCTTCCACCTGCTGGTTCACTCCCCAAGTGGCTGCAATGGCTAGAGCTGGACTGATCTGAAGCCAAGAGCCAGAAGCTTCTTCTGAGTCTCCCACGTGGGTACAGGGGCCCAAAGACTTGGGCCATCTTCCACTGCTTTCCAAGGCCAGAGCAGAGAGCTGGATTGGAAGTAGAGCAGCTAGAACTCTAACCGGCACCCACATGGAATGCTGGTCCCGCAGGCGGCGGCTTTACCCGCTACGCCACAGCACTGGCCCTACAACCAAATGTTTTTAACCACCCTTACTAGTTTGTGGCTCTCATCCTGCCTTCTCATTATTCATGTCTGCGTGTGTATGTGTCTGCGTGTATGTGTCTGTGTATGCCTGTGTGCATCTCCGTGTGCATGTGTGTATCCATGTGCATGTATGTATATGTATGTATTTGTGTATCCGTTGCATATACGTACATGTATGTATCTGTATATTTGTGTGTATGTGTGTCAGTGTGTATGTGTGCACTTCTGTGTCTGTGTCTCTGTTGTGTGCACATCTGTGTGTATGCATGTGTCTGTGTGCCTGTGTGTGAATCTGTGTGTGTGTCTAGGTTTTTGTGCCTAAGTATGTGTCTCTCTGTATATTTGTGTCTATGTGTGCCTGTGTGGCCTCGTTACTTCTGCCACATTCTGGTTGTAAGCTGCCCCTCTAACTTAGCAGCACGTGGGCAGCCCCCCACGTCAGCAGACACAGCCTCTGCATTGCCTTTCCCGCTGTGGAGCCATCCTGAAGCGTGGGACAGCGGGCCTGCGTGTCACCAAGCCCGGCCACCAGGGGGCGCTGGGGTGCGGGGGCGTGTTGGGGTACGGGGTGCCCGCCTCTGTGGCGGGCTGAGGCCCCCTGCCGCCCCCAGCTCTGGCAGTTCGGGCAGTGGATGGACGTGGTGGTGGACGACCGGCTGCCCACCAAGAACAACAAGCTGGTGTTCGTGCACTCGGTCCAGAACTCGGAGTTCTGGAGCGCCCTGCTGGAGAAGGCCTACGCCAAGTGAGTGCCCCGAACCCGCGCCTTGCCGGGCCTTGCGCGGCGGGGCGGCCCGCTTCCCTCACCGCGGCCTCTCTGCGCCCGCCCGCAGGCTGAGCGGGTCCTACGAAGCGCTGGCGGGGGGCAGCACCATGGAGGGCCTGGAGGACTTCACCGGGGGCGTGGCCCAGAGCTTCCAGCTGCAGAGGCCGCCGCCTGACCTGCTGAGGCTCCTGCGGAAGGCAGTGGAGCGCTCCTCCCTCATGGGCTGCTCCATCGAAGTAAGCGGGGGCTGGCGACCTCAGGGCCTTTGCTTCTCCCCCTCAGGGTTCTTTCCCCAGACAGCTGCGAGCCTGGCTCCTCCCTCACATTTGAGCCCAGCCATTCTCCCCTCAGACCAGCCTCCCCCGAGCCCCCACGCCGTTACGTTCCCGACATTCCTTGCCGCCTGCCATACCTTGCCTGTCTGTGTGCTTTTTCCGGGCCCATCCTCTCCAGAATGGATTCGCAGTCCACGAGGGCAGTACTCCAGACAGCCCCGCAGGCAGGAGGCACCCAACAAATATTTATTTGAACAAGCGAACCCCGAGTGTCCCCCATGTGACCCTGCGGTTGTATTCCTGGGCGTTCATCACAGAGGAGTGAAGCCTTGTGTCCAGGCAAAGCCTGGTCACAAATGTTCATAGCAACTTCACTCTTTTTGAAATGATATTTTTCTTCTTTTTTGTTTGTTTGTTTATTTCAGAGGCAGAGAGACAGGCAGATAGGCAGAGGACCCTCCATCCTCTGGTTCACTCCCCAAATGCCCGGCACAGCCAAGGCTGGACCAGGGCTGGAGCCAGGAACACATGCAGATCTCCCCTGTGGGTGGCAGGGACCCAATTCCTCGAGCCATCACTACCGTCCCCCAGGGTCTGCACTGGCAGGAAGCTGGGGTCAGGAGCCAGAGCTGGGAATGAACCCAGCACTCCAGTGTGGGATGTGGGCGCCTTAACCGCCAGGCTAAATGCCTGTGCCGGGCAAATGTATTCCCAGTAGTCAAAATCAGGAAATGACCCGGATGAATGAACGGCTGAACTAACCACGGCGATCACGCACCGTGGGCTACTTAGGCAGCAACACAGAGGAACCCGCTGTTGAGACGTAGCTCCAGGGAATTGTGCCACATTTAAAAAGCCAGCTTCCCCCCAGGTCACACACTGCGCGACTCCGCTCATAGGACATTCCAGGAAGGAGGAAGTTATACAGAGGATGTAGGATGGTGGGAGGCTCTGAAAGGGTGAGAAGAGGTGGGCGTGGTTACAGAAGCGCGGCCCAGCACGTGTGTGTGTGTGTGTGTGTGTGTGTGTGCACGCACGTGTGTGCTTGTGTTGATGGAAATGTCCCATGTCTCAGCTACACAGGCGTCCAAACCACATGGATCGCACCTTAACCAGTCCCGGCACACGATGGGGGAACCTGTGTGAGGTTGGTGGCTCATGTCCACATGGACGTCCCGCTCTCACACGCTGCAGCTTTGCAACCCCAGGGAACTGGGTGTGGGCTACAGATGCGTGTGAACCTACAGTTGTTTCCAAACAGAAAGTGTCATGACAATTCAAACGAACCAGAGTTCTCTACTTTCTTTGGGTGCCCGGGTCCCTCTGCCCAGACCCTCCCTGCCTCCCGTCCATCTGTGTCCTGCAGGTCAACAGTGACAGTGACCTGGAGTCCGTGACCCACAGGATGCTGGTGAGGGGACATGCGTATGCAGTGACCGGACTTCAGGACGTGAGTCTGGACCACTGTGACCTTCCCTGAGAAAGACAGGAACCTCTTCCTGACCCCACGCCCCTGACCGTCAACCTGCTACCCCCAGGTCCTCTTCAGAGGCAAGGCGGAAACGCTGATTCGGGTGCAGAATCCATGGGGCCGGATTGAGTGGAACGGAGCCTGGAGTGACAAGTAGGCGCCCCTGAGCCAGGCAAGGAGGGGAGCAGGGGACTCGGCCGACCCCAAGAGCAAGGCAGGACCACCAAAGGAGCACCCGGGGTCCCGTCTGGGAGGACACCCCAAGCACCAGGGCCGGTCCTTCCCTCTAGATCCTGCATTTTAACTCAGGACCCCAGAAGGCCTGCGTTCAGGGATGGGGGTGTCCCCCGGGGTTGGGGGGAGCAGGCACTGCCTGCCCCCACCCCTCTCCCTGCTCTTGCCTGTGTCTGCTCCAGCGCCAGGGAATGGGAAGAGGTCAGCCCGGACATGCAGATAGAGTTGCTGCACAAGAAGGAGGACGGGGAGTTCTGGTCAGTGTGGCGGGGGCCCCTGCAGCCCTTTGGCTATGGCGCCTCAGGGGGCGGGGCCTGGGGTGCCCGTGAGCCTCCAATCACTCCCTACCCCCACCCCCGCCCAGGATGTCCTACCAGGATTTCCTGAAGAACTTCACGCTCCTGGAGATCTGCAACCTCACACCCGACACGCTGTCCGGGGAATACAAGAGCTACTGGCACACCACCTTCTACGAGGGCAGCTGGCGCAGGGGCAGCACCGCGGGGGGCTGCAGGAATAACCCCGGTGGGTGAGGGCAGGAAGGGAGGGGTGGGCTTCGGGCTCGACATGAAAGCAGGCCCAGGCCGGCGCTGCGGCTCAATAGGCTAATCCTCCACCTGCGGCGCGGGCGCACCGGGTTCTAGTCCTGGTCGGGGCGCCGCATTCTGTCCTGGTTGCCCCTCTTCCAGGCCAGCTCTCTGCTGTGGCCTGGGAAGGCAGTGGAGGATGGCCCAAGTGCTTGGGCCCTGTACCCCATGGGAGACCAGGAAAAGCACCTGGCTCCTGGCTTTGGATGAGCGCGGTGCGCCGGCCGCAGCTCACCGGCCGCGGCAGCCATTGGAGGGTGAACCAAAGGCAAAGGAAGACCTTTCTCTCTGTCTCTCTCTCTCACTGTACACTCTGCCTGTCAAAAAAAAAAAAAAAAAAAAAAGAAAGCAGGCCCAGGGCACAGGGTCACGGGCCACGGGCTCAGGGGGGCCTGAGTTAGGGGTCAGGCCCATTCCCATTAACCCCCACCCCCCGCCGGGCTCCGTGGCTGAGGCAGCTCAGTCCGCCCTGGGAAGGGCACGGTCAAGGATCTGCCCTCCAGCATAGCCGTGCGGATCCGCTTCCCCCACAGACACATTCTGGACCAACCCCCAGTTCAGGATTTCTCTCCCTGAGGAGGACGACCCTGACGAGGACTCGGAGGACAACACAATCGTCTGCACCTGCCTTGTGGCCCTGATGCAGAAGAACTGGCGGCACGGGCGGCCGCAGGGCTCCCAGCTCCACACCATTGGCTTCGTCATCTTCTCGGTGGGCGCCCCGGCCGGTCCCCCGGCCACCCTCGCTCCCCTGCCTGGCCTCTGCCCAGGAGAACCCCTCCTCCCCAGGACCACTGCCCGCCCAGGGAGAGAGACAAGCTCCAGCAGGCTTCATCCACAGCCCTGTCCCTTGAGGCAGGGCTCTTCCCACCCAGGTTGACATTCACAACAGGGAACTGGGGCTTGCTTGGTGCCAGGGGCATGGTTCCCAAGGCCTGAGGGACATTGCCTTCCTGTGCCTTCCAGCAAGCAGGAAGGGGAGGGGACTGAGGGCAGAGAGGTGAGGGCATCTGCCCAGGCTTCCAGGTCCCGGGATCAGGGGTGGAGTCTGTGATTCCCAGGCACTCAGAACTTCTCCACAACCCCCCAAGGGTCCCCCAAGTCACCCCACCCGTGACACTCACCGAGGAGCCAAGAGAAACCCCCGCAAAGTATTTCCCAGTACAACCTGTGCTTTGCAAAAACCCTAGGAATGGTCCTTTGTCTGCTCCTTTGTGGCGTCAACAATATTTAGAGAGCACCTGCTCCATGCCAGGGCCCAGTCTAGTCTCCAGGGGCTCAACAGAGAGCAGGGACACGCACAGCCTTGGCCTACGCCAGATTAACAGATGTGTCTGCAGACGCCACGTCCAAGGATAAGAAGGGCTCTGCTGCAGCCCCAGCTGGATGGAGTGCAGGAGCCTAATTAAGGGAGCTGGCAGCCCCAGCCGTGGAGCGCCAGCCTCGCTCAGCTTCCTGTCGCTGTCACTTCAGACCCCAGACTAGGTCATTTTATAAAGGAAAGACGTTTATTTAGCTCATGCTTCTGGAAGTCCAAGGATATGGCATCTGGTGCGGGCCTTCCTGCTGGGTCATGACCTGGGGACAGGCATCACAGGGCTGTGAGCGCTCCCCGGGCTGACTCAGGTCTCTCTTCCTGTTCTTCTGAGGCTACCAATGCAACCATGGGGGCCCTAGCTTTGTGACCTCGTCCAAACCTCATGACCTCCAAAAGGCTCCGCCTCCGGAAGCCGTTAACCTGGCGCCGTGAGGATGAAGTCCCAGCACGAGTCCTGGAGGGAACACCAGCAGGGCAGCAGCTGCTCTGTTCACCTTGACTTCACTCAGCTTTCTGCACATGTACTTGACGTCAGTCCTCAAGTTCAAGAGTCACCCATTAACGTCCTCCAGGATATGGGTGTTCCTTGGAATAGCAGCTGGAAAATGTTCTTAGTTTCCATAACAGCTCTCACTTTTAACTGGGTGAGCCTGGGCGAGTCACCTCACCTTTGGGATTCCATTTCCCGTCCTTAGGCGAGGCCCTGGCAAAGCTTTGTGTGAACTGTTCTTTGTGAGCCAAAGCAGACAGATTCCTAACGCCAGGACCTTTTAGCTCTCACGATCCCAGGCCCCATGCCACCATCAGTGCCCCTGTGCTCCTGGAATACCCCCAACACACACACACACACACAATGCACACACCTTACATGGTGTGTAAGAGCTCTGAGCCCCTTTACTACTCTGGAGACCTGATTCTCTCTCTCTCTCTCTCTCTCTCTCTCCCCCTTTCCCAGGTCCCGAAGGAGGTACAGAAAATGAAGACCTAGGGTTTGATCCTGGGCAGCACTCACCCTAACCCTGGCTGCATGGGGATGGGCAGGGGCTGGGATATGGGGAAAGGCTCTGGGGGGCACTGGGTTGGGATTCCAGCACCCTCTGGCCTTGATGGGAATCGGGGACAAGAGAGAGAGAGAGCACACTGGGATTCCTGCCACTTGGCTGGTGTCCAGACCAGGTCCCTTGGGAGTGACACCCACCTTGGGGGACCCTCTCTCCCTGCCCTCCCGTGCCAGTCCTGTACCCACCTCCGGGGCTCGTGTGTAGTTTCAGAACATCCAGGATGTCCACTTGAAGAAGGACTTTTTCACAAAGTATCAGGACCATGGCTTCTCTGAGATCTTCACCAACTCCCGGGAGGTGAGCAGCCAGCTCCGGCTGCCGCCCGGGGACTACATCATCATCCCTTCCACCTTCGAGCCGCACAGAGACGCCGACTTCTTGCTTCGGGTCTTCACGGAGAAGCACAGCGAGTCCTGGTGAGGGGCTGCACCTCCCTGCTCCAGAGCTGGAGGAGGTCAAGTTCAGGGTGCTGTCATCGTCTGCGCACGTTGTCCCTGTTTTACAGTCAGGGAAGCTGAGACAGGCAGAGGTCCAGTCAGCTGTCAACAGAACCAGAGCTAGGCCCAGACCCCAGATTCCAGGGTGGGGGGAGGGTCCCCAGGTGCTTCAGCACCTCTCCCAGAGCCAGCCCATGGAAACGCCCCTCCCCCAACCCCAGTAACCCCCGAGCCTTCTATGTCTTTGCCAGGGAGCTGGATGAAGTCAACTACTTGGAGCAGCTTCAGGAGGTGAGGGGAGGCTCCGGGGTTGGGTTGCAAGATGGCACCCAGGGGTGTACATGACTGGTTAGCACTGGCCCCTTTGCCACTCCCCTTCCCGCAGGAGAATGTCTCCGAGGAGGCGTTGGACCAGAACTTCATCCGTCTGTTTGAGATCGTGGCAGGAGAGGTGACAGAGCCGTCGGCTCAGGGCTGAAGGGAGGCAGCTGTGGGGCCGAGGGGCCCAGCAGGGGCTGACAGTCCTGCTCTCTAGGACAACGAGATAGACATGTATGAGCTCCAAAGGCTGCTCAACAGGATGGCCATGAAACGTGAGTCTTGCGCATGCCCCGGGCCCCATCCCAGCCACTCCCTGCGTCCCCACAGTGCTCCCTCCATTCCACCTCTTCTTCCCGCCCCTGCCCTTCCCCACAGTCAGAAACTTCAAGAGCAAGGACTTTGGCTTGGACTCCTGCCGCTGCATGGTCAACCTCATGGATGTATCTTCCTGTCCAGTGGACAGTCCTGCCCGGTGCTCTCCTACCCCTGACCTGGCTCAGGGGAGGCTGCCTCTCCAGCCAGCGGTGCGCTGTGTCCTTGCTGGGGACTGGACTCCATGATAGCAAAAGATGCCAGGCCTGCCTGGGAAGCTTGGGCCCCTTTCAACCACGTGGGAGAACAGGATGCAGCTCCTGGCTCCTGGCTTCAGCTTGACTCAGACTGGGCTGTTGTGGCCATCTGGGGAGCGAACCAGCAGATGGAAGCTCGCTCTCTCTCTCTCTTTGTGTGTGTGTGTGTGTGTGTGTGTGTGTCACTTAGAGAGATCTTCCATCCGCTGGTTCACTCTCTAAATGGCCATAACAGCCGGAGCTGGGCTAGGCTGAAGCCAGGAGCCAGGAGCTCCATCCAGGTCTCCCACATGAGTACAGGGGCCCAACCATTGGGCCATCTCTGCTGCTTTCCCAGGTGCAATAGCAGGATGGGCAGCAGGGCAGCTGGGACTTGAACCGGCGCTCTGACATGGGATGCTGGCATCGCAGGCATTGGCTTAACCCACTGTACCACAGTGCTGGCCCCAATAAGTACAGTCTTTTTTAAGGAAGATGCCAGCCCTTCCAGCTGTTGCCATGCAAGAACCTTCGTCTGTGTGCCCCCTCTGTGTGGCCCTCTGCTTCCCTGCCCCCACCAGGCCCTCCTCATCCCCTTCTTGGCTATCCTTAACCACCCCCCAGAAAGATGGCTCTGGCAAGCTGGGGCTTCTGGAGTTCCAGATCCTGTGGAAAAAAATCAAGAAATGGACGGTAAAGGGTACTGGGGGGGGTGTCTTTGGGAGGGTGGAAACCAGTAAGGGCGGAGCTAGAACTGGAGTCCCCGGCTGCGTGTGCACGCGCGCGCGCGCACACACACATACACACAAATATGAGCACACACGCACGCACGCACGGTCAGCTGGAGTGCAGGGACAACCAGCCAGCCAAAATACTGAACAGCCAGCACAGCCAGGGCCCGGCCAGTCTCAGCAGGTGCCGACTGACCCCCTGTGGATCACTAGGTGGGAGGAGCACAGGGAGCTGGGAGGGGGAGGGGTGCCCCAGGGCCCCAGAGGCTGCTGTGAGCCCAGTGTGCTGAGGCATTTCACTGTTCCCAGCAACACACCATGCACACAGCCCTATCTATTCACCTCTGCAGGACATCTTCCAAGAGTGTGACCAGGACAACTCAGGGACCCTGAACTCCTACGAGATGCGCTTGGCAATTGAGAAAGCAGGTGGCCAGGGACCAGGGGCCAGGAGATGGCTTTGGGGCAGGGTGGCAGTGGAGGGCAGTGGCTGGAAGCCTGGCTTCTCCCCCTGCCCTGTCCACTTTGTCCCAGGCATCAAGCTGAACAACAAGGTGATGCAGGTGGTGGTGGCGAGGTACGCGGATGACAACATGATCGTGGACTTTAACAGCTTCATCAGCTGTTTTCTGAAGCTGAAGGCCATGTTCAGTGAGTCAGGCACCTGCCCACTACCCAGCCCTGCCCAGCCCAGTCCAGGACTCTGGCCCTCTCCCGCACCTCCCCCCAGCCAGTGCTGCTCCACAGCCATCCCCACGGCTGGCTCAGAACTGGGTCTGGCACCCAGCAGAGCTATCTTGAACTGTGGTCGGTCATTCTGCCCTGGACCACTGGAGCCAGCTGGGGGGCAGCAAGGAAGAACGTGTGCCCTGACATTCTCTCGAGCCAGGGGTGGGTCTTTCTCAGACCGCTGACTCAGCTCAGCCCTTCTCCCCTGCCACCCCCCAAAACAGCCTTCTTCCTGACCATGGATCCCCAGAACACTGGCTGCATTCACGTGAACCTGCAGCAGGTGCGTGGGATGCTCCTCCACCCGCGGCCCTGCCCCCCCATGAGTCGCCCCGCCCATCCTGTGCCCCTCCTAAAACCACCCCTCCTCGCTGTCTCCTGGGCTGTCTTCTCTCCATGCAGTGGCTGCAGGCGATCATGTGGGGATAGAGGCGCAGCGAGGGTGCTGGGCAGAGCAGGGGGCCAGTCCTCGCAGCTCTCAGCTGAAGGGAAAGGCCGCAGATGCCGAGTTTACCCTGTGCACATCCTCCCAGTTTCCCCAGCCAGGCTTGGGGAGCAGCTGGATCAACCTCACAGTCTCCCTCCCTCTCTGGATAGATTTTACTACAAATGAAGTGATGCTTCCCTGGTGCCCCCATGACTAGGGAGGCCAAGAATAGGGAAGGGGCTCCTAGCTCACTTCCTGCTTCCCAGCTGCCTCCTGACCCTCTCACACCTGCCTCCTGGTCCAGCCTCACCCCTGCCCACCCACAGACCTTCACACCTGCCTCCTGGCCCAGCCTCGCCTCCCGCCCACCCACGGACCCTCACACCTGCCTCCTGGCCCAGCCTCGCCCCCCGCCCACCCACGGACCCTCACACCTGCCTCCTGGACATTATCGTAATAAACACATGTGCTGGCTTCCATGTCTCTGTGTGTGTACAACAGGAAGAGGTTGGCTGGGCTGGAAGTCCACTGCCCAGCATCAAGCAAATCCTGAAGCTTGTTGGGCAAGGGTGGCAGCCCCCACTTCCGGGGAGCACTTAGACTGTGTGGCCATCACAGTGACTCGGGGACACCGCTGGCACTTGCAGGCAGTGCCAGATGCTGAGTGCACAGCAATGCCTGTCATGAAGAGAACCGTGCGTGCCTCAGTTGGGGTGCAGCTAGGGAACCAGCCACCTGCAAACCCCGTCATCAGGGCTGGCAGAGTTAGGGGCCTGCAGGCCCTGAGCCTCCCCTCTCATCTGTGCCCTCAAACTGGAGCCCCCAGTGGTGCGTGTACAGGTGCAATGGTAACGAGTCCCACAGCGGCAGCAGCCCACGGGCTATATAAGGAAGGGGCAGTCTCGGGCTGAGACTGGGAGCCTTGAGGCCCAGGTGGCAGCAGGTGAGCTCAGAGCGGGAGGGAGAGATGCACAGATTCAAATTGTGGGTGGAGAGCGGTTGCAAAGTGCTGCCCGTCATTGCCCTCACAGGAACTGTGAAGCCCTGGGCACCTGGTCCACCAGCTCCTGACCCCGGAAGCTCTGCCCCTACCTGCCCGGCCCCAGCCCCAGCCGCCCCTCACCTGCACTCCTCCCGTCCTCTCAGATCACTCGGTCACCATGGGGCCTGGGCACCCAAGCTGTTCAGCACCTCGGGCAGAGACGGTGCCCAGCCGCCCCCACCCAGCGCTCCAGCCTGTGCGCTCCTCCAGCTTCCTCTGCGCCCTGCTGCCTTTTGTACCCATCCCACGCCCACCTTGACCGCTTAGAGATGGCCTTTCCGTCTCCTTGATCTGTGCCAGCCCTGCTCCCTGCTTCCTTTGCAACTTCAAAGGCTTAACCCAGCCAGCCTGGGTCTAAGCTGCTGTCTCCACAGTCGCCCAGGAGCCATTTCCTGTCCTGCCACCCCTCCCTGCTTCCTCTCCGTCCCTGGTCTCATCTGACAGCCCAGAGTCTCTTAAAAGGCTCATCTCTGTATCCCTTGTCTGCCCTCTGGCCACATCTGTTCCCCACAGAACTGCTAAGGAGCAGGGAGCTCAGTGAGCTCTGAAAACTAACAGCTCCTTCAAGATGTGTGTGTGTGTGTGTGTGTGTGTGTGTTAATTTATTTAAAAGGCGGGATGACAGAAGGAGGGAGAGGCCAAGAGAGATCTTCCAATCTGCTGTTTCACTCCCCAAATGGCAACAACAATCAAGGCTGGGCCAGGCTGACTCCTGGCACTCCATCCTGGTCCCTGACGTGGGTGGCAGGGGCCCAGGTACTTGGGTCATCGTGCACTGCCTTCCCAAGCGCTGCAGCAGGAAGCTGGATCAGAAGCTGGGTAGCCAGGACCGGGACTGGCGCTCTGCTGTGGAATGTGGTTGTCGCAAGCAGCAGCGCCACAGTGCCCTGCCTCCCTTTATGGTTCTGCGAGGTGCCAGCAGTCACGGCTGGTTCTGGGAGCCCCAGGAAGGCGCTGACTTCAGCCCTTTGTTCCTTGCCCTGTGGTGCCATGCTGCCAACCTCAAGGCAGGATGGAAGGCAAGCAGGAAACTCCCCAACCAGGACAATCGGTTCTGGCTGTAATAAGACAGACTGCCTATATACACCGTGAGCCTCGTGGCCCCAGGCACAGAGCCACTGGCAGCTCGCCGGGTGCCCTTGGACAACAGTTCTCCACCCATCACAGAATCTCGTCGGTCTGGTAGGGGTGCCTCTGCCTACCTCGGGGTTGGTGTGGGGCTGTGTGTAAAGCTGAGACAACGGAGGTGACGCACTTGGACTTGCCTTTCTATTTTTTTCACTCCAGTATTATCTGTGAGGGTCCTTCTAAAAATACATGGAAAACTGAATTAAAAGATGTTTATTTTGGTGCAAAATAATAATTTGAAATTCATGCATGGTTTTTTCATAATACATATTTCCCATGAGCTTTTCAAAAAAGCAATTTAGAGGCTGGCATTGTGGCACAGCAGGTTAAGCTGCAACGTGCAATGCCGGCATCCCTTATGGGCACTGGTTCAAGTCCTGATTGCTCCACTTGTGATCCAATTTTCTGCTAATGGCCTGGGAAAGCAGTAGAAGATGGCCCAAGTGCTTGGGCCCCTGCACCCATGTGGCAGACCTGGAAGAAGCTCTTGGCTCCTGGGTACAGCCTGGCCTAGCCTTGGCTATTGTAGCCATTTGGGGAGTGAACTGCCAAATGGAAGATCTCTCTCTCTCTCTCTCTCTCTCTAACATTTAAATAAATAAGTCTTTTATAAAAGAAAAAAGAAATATGTTTTGTTTCCAAATTTTATTTTCCTTTTAAATATTAGGTTTTTAAATTTTATTTGAAAGGCAGAGAGCAAGAAAGACAAAAATTTTGCATCTGCTGGGTCACTTCCCAAATGCCTGCAACAGCCAAAACTGAGTACCCAATGTGGGTGTCCACGTGGGTAGCAGGAACCTAAATACTTGAGCCATCACCTGGTGCCCCCCAGGACACATTAGCAGAAAATTGGGAGCTGGAAGCTGGAACAGTGCCAGAACTCAAACCTAGGCGCTCAATACCAGATGTGGGTTTCCTGGTGATGTCTTAACCCTTGTACCATGGACTGTTCATCATATGAAAAACAAGTGTTCAATGCTAACACGTTAGATAGTACATATGAGGAAATATCAAGCCACTGAACGAGGAGCACAAGTGGCATGAAGCTTATGATATAAAGTTAAATGAGTAATATGCATAGGCAACACATAGCTATTGGCATTCGTGAATATTCACTGGCTTAAATATTATTAGCAATGCTATCTGCAGTGTTAGCTCAAATGTGGAAAATGAGACCCTTCTAGACCCCACCCCAGGTCAGCTTTACTTGCTCCCAGCCTAAGGCCCCTCCCACCATGTCCTTGCTGTCTCCTGAGGAGGTGTAACCACAGACAGGCAGCCCCCGCCCCTTCTAGCCCTCAGCGTGCATCCCTTCTGTTCCCAGCCCCAGTGGCTGAGTTGTGCTGGGGAAATGCCCTTAACCATGACACCTGCCTTCCCTAACGCCTGCTGGTCCACCTTGATGGAGGCCACTTGGCAGTCTGGGCTTCTTCTCTGGGCGGCTCACTGCTGGCCCCTCTCCCAGCCCACTCAGAACCCTCTCAGCTTCCAAATGCAAAGGCTGAGATCCCAGCTGTCGCAACCCTGCCCTCCATGGCCTCGTCCTCTGGGCCCTGAGAAGGCGGGGTCTCAGGTGTGCTGGAAAACCAGGGAACAGCCAGCCAGTCAGAGCAGCAGGCTGGATGCCACACAGCTAGGACCATGCTAAGTAAAAGTTAACAGAACGCACAACAGGCTCACCAGCTTTTTAAAAATATTTCACATTTTTTATAATAAATGTATGGATTATAAAAGTTGCCATCTTCACCAAATCCTTAATTAACCAATTTTTATTTGAAAAGCAGGGAGACAAGAGAAAGATGGAGAGAGATCCCTTATCTACTGGTTCACTCCCCAGATACCTGCAACAGCTGAGGCTGAGCCAGGCCAAAGCCAAGAGCCTGGAACTCAATCGGGATCTCCCACATGGGTGGCAGGGACCCAAGAGCCTGAGCCGACTCTGGCTGCCTCCCAGGGTGGGCACTGGCAGGAAGCTGGAATGGGGAATGAAGCTGTGTCTGGAACCTGGCACTCTGATAAGGATGCAGGCATCCCAAGCAGCTTAACTGCTGGGCCAAACGCCTGCCCCTTAACCAACTGTTGAAGTTTTAGTTATTTTATTTGAGAGGCTCACAGACACACACAGAGACAGACAGACAGACAAACAGAGGGAATATCTTCCTATTTGCTGGTTCAGTCCCAAACGCCTGAGATCCCAGGGCTGGGTCAGGCCAAACCCAGGAGCCCAGAACACAGCCCAGACTTCCCACGTGGGTGACAGGAACCCAGCCACTTGAGCTATCCTGTCATCTCTGCCTCCCAGGACCTCCACTAACAGGATGCAGGTGAGGGGCCAAAGCTGGGCGCTGCACCCAGACACTCTGCTGCGGCACGTGGGGTCCCCACCCTCCAGTCTAAGTCCCTATCTACCGGGGTTTGAACGCCTGCCACGTGGACTCTGTTTGATCCAGGGAACTCCTGTCCCCTCCCACAGCCACATCCCAAAGTCCTTGTAGGTCCTGACTCTCGCTGGTGACATCTGACTCCAGATTAAAGGCTTTCCTTGTGTGTGAATAACATTTATCACATCCTTCTAATTTCGGGGCTTATATATTCTCATAAGAACAGAGAAAATACAGGAGATCTTTAAAATGTTCATGAAATATGCATAAGGCAATCGCACATGGATTTCCAAAAATTTTTCACCAAAATAAACTCATGTTTTAAAAATATTTATTTACTTATTTATTTATTTGAAAGGTAGAACATCAGAAAGGGCAGAAAAAGAGACAGAGAGAGAGGTCTTCATCCACTGGTTCACTCCCCAAATGGCTTCAACAGCCAGGCCTGGGCAGGTTGAAGCCAGGAGCCTGGAACTCCATCCAGGTCCCCCACAGGGGCGGTAGGGCCCCAGGTTCTTGTGCCGTCTTCCGCTGCTTTCCCAGGGGCAATACAGGGAGCCGGATCTGAGGCAGAGCAGCTGGGACTCGCAGCGGTGCTCAGGTGTGGGATGCTGGCTTCACCCACTATGCCGCAGCGCGGGTCCCTAATCTTCACTCCCATTTTCCATGAACTTTTTGAAGTTCCCTGGTGTTGAAAATCACCCAGGAGGAAACCAAAACTCACCTCTCTTTCCGTCTCCCAGGTTCACTACGGCCGCTCTTCATTAATGCCTGTGTGTGTGCCGACTTACAAAGCAGCTTTATTAGATCCGCTGGGCCCCTTGGGCTGCCCTTTCCTACCTCTCGGGTCGTCCCTTGTACTCGCTTTGTCTCCCAAAGCAGGTGAGTGTTAGGTGCTGCCCTGGGTTTCCCCAGAATCACCC